AAAAATCGAACTTTTCATATTTCCGGAAAGAGGTTTTAAAATATTGGTAACAGTAAAAATAACTTAATAAATTTAAATAAAAAATAATTTAAAAAAAAAATTTTGTTCATGAGATAAATATTTTCTACTTTCTCTCTTTTAATTCAATTTAAATTAATTCAATTGAAACAAATTAAAACACTGATATTCCTCATTACGGTGTATATTTTTAATGAGGGTGGGTATATATTATATTTTCTCATTTATTTGATGAGAAACACAACTACATTTGTTTTTTAATAGTTGTATTGCTTTATTATTCTATGAATTTATAAATAAATTATACTAAAGTGATTTACAAATCCTTCCTATCGAAAATGTGACTAGCTAGTATTTATCTTTCATATGCTGTGCCGTCTCCTCGATTAAGAAATAAAATACCGATCTGTTTTCCAAAAATTTATAAAGATTTTAATTATCCTGATTGTATTTTCAATCCAAATGTTTACAATTGGCTGAATATGCAAGCATTTGACTGTGAAAATTGAAAAAAAAAAAATAAATAAATAAAAAGGTGGAGAAAAAACTCTTAACTTATATTAATTAATGACTCACCAAAACAAATGGAAACAAGCAATAAAATAATGAGTCATATGAAGAAAGCTAATGAAAATATTAAGATAGTTTGACAGTTTCCCATTTAATATGGCGTCTGCGGTTGTATCAAACTAATCATTTAGCTGTTCCGTCTCAAATGTCTTTACAGTATCTCCTTTCCCCAAAGTTTTTCTAAAATACATGTGGTTAAGTGTAGGAAGGATTAAACATACTCTGAAAAACTGCTAATGGCGCATCTCCAAAGGGCGCACAACGGGAGTAGACGGGCGCGCGCTCTGGTAGAGCGTGACGCGAGCGGAAACAGGGATGGCTGTCCCCAATATGGCTTCCTCCGCGCACAGGAAAAGAAACCCCTCCGCCCCCTGAACATATTATGCACCTTTCTCTCCCTCCCTCCAAAATCTATGTCACGTCTCACCGCTAAGGTCAAGGTCTTTTATTAAAGAACATTACAGATTTTCTGGAGAAATTATTTCAAGATCTCTCTCTCTCCGTGGTAAATCGGGATGCAAGAAAGGGGTGCATGAAAGAAAATCTAACCGCTTCCTTTGGTACACACCGCTGCATGCCACATTTTTCACACTTGATTAAAGCTAGGTGTGAGTGTTGGAATGTTGTGCCATGACAATAGAGATATGCACGTGCTCTGAAATATCATAAGACCAAAACAATCGATTGATGACAGTGACAGGTGATGCGGAATTCTTAGTGGAAAACGTTAGGACTTTGAACAAGTCTAACATCTAAGTGCGACAAATAAATTCGAGTTCATTGAATGCTTTAAAATAATAATAATAATAAAAAATAAATAAATCTGGCATGTGTTAAGTTCTGTTATTATGTGGGGATATTACTTCTAAGTTTAGTGAAACACTTTTTTTATAAAAAAAAATAATAATCTTTGAGAAAGAACCTTAAATTAAATAAGATGCATGTATACTATCTCTATGTTGCTTCATTTGCAATAAGTAATAATGGATAATAATTTCGAATGAATATTTGTAAATCTGAATTGTGACTTGCTCGTTATTTTCTATAAAAATATAAGTAACTAAATAGCCACTCATGGTCTACAGTACATAATAGCTGACAAAATTAAATATAACATAGATTTAATTATTATTGTTATTTTCTTTCTATTTCCGAGTACCATATAAACTTCAAAACTAGCGAATGTGCTCGAAGTTAAATGTTTGACAGTATTTCATTAGATTTAGTAAATTTCTAGGTTTAATTTACTTTATATTCGAATAGGTAAATAAAATTATAGCGAGAAAAATATATATTATCGGGTTAATAAAAACTAATGTTTGTAAAAATTCTTAAATAATACCACTTTTCTTAAATTGAAAAGGATTTGTATTTTTTCCCTGAATGATTATAAAGTGTGTTTGCAACTTCTGAAGTATTCAACACAGATGTTAACAATTAAAGCCATCACATTCAAAACCTAAAAGAAATGTCATTAATTCAGGCCTTTATTTTTTAAAAAAGCAGCGTGAAAAATAGATGAACAAATGATCAAAAACACACGTAGGTAGAAATTTTTTAAGATAGAACATAGATGAACATAGAACGTAGATGAAACATCATTCCTTAATTTAATAAATTTCTTTTTAAATTTAATAAGAACTTTGAGCATGGCGGAATATATAAAACAACAACAAAAAAAATCCAGATATATAAAGAAGAAAAAGAAATAAAAGCAACAATCTTTTCCCCCCTCAGTGCAAGCAAACCATACACCTTTCATCGCGAGACAGTCACAGAATTGTATCTCTTTCTCCCAAATTCGATACCTAGAAAATGCCGATAAAAGAACAGAAGACCAGGAGCAGCCGTGAGAGGGGCTTGAGGAGGGAGCAAGATCCTTTCTTGGGTATCGAATGACAATGAGAGCGATGGAATACGTGTGTATGCGCGCCAGATGTTGAGTGTAGACGCGTGTCCGGCGCACGCGGCCATCTGCTCGCACGAGACCTCCTGCTTCTATCATCTTAGTTTGTCACACTATTTACTCGCTACCTTACTTTTTTTTTTCTTCATCTTCTTTCAAGGGAATATCTACTGACGATGGGTGCCTTTCAAGAACCTCCCCCTTTTCAATTTTTATTTCTTTTCTGTATCTTGTTTTTTTCTTTTCTTCTTTTTTTTAGATTTTCTTTTTCGCCTTCGTTATTAGCATGTTTTCAGAGTACTTGACGGTGATGCCCCGTGAGTTTTATAGCTTATTGACGGGTTATAAAGTTGGTTATCTTGTGCTGAAAATGTATTTTTATGACTAAACAAGAATGTTCGATTGAAGAGTGTTTTTAGTTCTCGAAGTACTTTGACGGGAAAGTAAAACAGAAATTACCCATAAAGTATCCGGTGACTCTTCAATGAAAAAATATTTCTATTTAATAACTTCAAAAGGAAAAGAAAAATTGTTAATTGACCAGTATTTAATAAATTGCGAATCTTTGGAAACAGCAATGAGGAAAATACTAAATTTTAAAAAATATTTCCCAAATTAAAGGGGGGAGGAAAGAATTAAAGGAATATTAAAATATTTCAGTAGCATATTGTTTCAAAATTTTGTTAATTTTATAGAATATTAGTCACCAAAGTTTTTTGCACTTCACTGTAAAAATATTTTTTTTAAAGATCATAGTCAGCTCATCCAGAAACTGTATAGTTTTACTAAATATATATTTTACCAATTCAAAAATACATTAGATTCAATGCATAATATGGATTTGAGTTATAAGGATATGGTTTTTGAATAAAAATAAATAAATGAATGCGCAGGAAATCAAAGTAATATTTAAAAAAATATGTATCTCATGGTAAAAAAAAATTATTAAAATTAACAGCTGAAATATACATTATAAGTCATATAAAATACTACCTATATTTTATTAAAACTTATACTACTTATATTTTATTAAATTTAATAATTTGTCAAAAATATATAATTAAAATCATGAAAAAAAATTTAAATGAAGAGAAAATTAATAATAAAAATAAATAAATAACGATAGGTATGGAATGTCTTATCAGCTAATATCCAATATATCAATAAGTCTTTCGGAATCCGCATTAATAACGCTAAATTGAATGCAAACTTATGAATTATTATCTTAGTATTTTTACCTCTCAACATATTTTTCATTAAGTTAATGTTTTATTATGTTAAAAACTGATAATAACGTAAAACATAAAATTACTGAAAATGAAAGAAGGAAAATAATATTATTTAATAAATGATATGACTATTCACTCACTTGATTCATTGCGATTATATTCGTAAACTACCTTGTAAAAATAATAAGAACTTCGACTGTTTGCAAATTGAACCACAAACATAAAACATAAAAACTTCCCTCTCCATTTATCGTACATTAGGGCTGGATTAAGACTGAAACTACGGTAGATTGTTGGCATACAATCAATTTATTCCAGACGATCAAAAATTTGTTCCGTATAGTTATAGCACGCGTGCTTCGGAATTTAATTAAAAAGTTAATGTTTGAAAGGTAAGCTCGTCAACTACTTGATGATGAGTCCAGTTTCCAAGCTTCAGCGATCATTCCGGTCATTCCTCCGCATAAAAAAACCGACCACCGAATTACCCCCTTTTTTTTTTTACTTTTCCCTTTTCTTTCTATGTGCACGAGGAAAAACTCGCCCTGAACAATAGATGACCTCCCCCATCCATCGCCACAAATGCTTTCTTTTAGTTATGCGGCTAGCTTTTCCGCGTCCGCCTTTAATGTGCAGCACAAAATACGCATTTATTTTCCTATTAAACGCTTTTTAGATGTTTTAATGAATTGGTTTTTGGAATAGAATTATTTGAATTGCATTTTTCATTACACCAAAATCTACCGTTATTCACTACCTATTTGTTTCATACAACTAAAAATTTGATTTACTACTGTCTAATTTTATTCAAATTAGATGTTTAAAGAATCAAAAAAATCGAGTATTTGCTAAATTAACAAATTTGCAAAATATACCTGTTTTTCAAAAAAATAGTAGACTTTAAAAAAAAAAAAAAAATTCTTTAACAATTTATTGTTTGTAACAGAAGCCAAAAGCCGCTGAAAACTTGGAAAATAAAAATCTTTTAAACAAAAATCATTTAAATCATAATGATAAGTATGCATTATATATATATATATAT